TCTCTCTCCCCCCCCCTCCCCAACTCCTCCCTCACCCTTGCCCTCACCCTCTCTCTCCCTCCCACGCCCTCTGTGTGTGTGTGTGTCTGTCTGCTTTTGAAATAAAGTCAACAATTCATTGTTAATTTATATCAAAAAAAATTAAACTTGTTTAACTTCAGTAGGGGGAGGAAGAGTTCCCTCATTGGCGTGCAACTCAAGATGCCTAGCTGAGTTATTCACTTTAGACAGGTCAGTCATTGTTTTCTAATCTTAAAATGAAGGGATTTGATCTCATCAAGTTTTAGTAAAACTTTTTATTAAAAGATCAGCTAGTAAATATTGTAGGCTTTGCAGGCCACAGGACCTGAATTGCAGCTACTTAATTCTGTTGTAATTGAATACTTAAGTAGGCCGGCTCCGCGGCTCATTTGGCTAATCCTCCACCTGCAGCGCCGGCACACCGGGTTCTAGTCCCGCTGAGGCGCCAGATTCTGTCCCGGTTGCTCCTCTTCCAGTCCAGCTCTCTGCTGTGGCCCAGGAGTACAGTGGAGAATGACCCAAGTCCCTGGGCCCTGCACCCCATGGGAGACCAGGAGGAGGCACCTGGCTCCTGGCTTCGGATTGGTGCAGCACGGGCCGTAGCGGCCATTTTGGGGGTGAGCCAGCAGAAGGAAGACCTTTCTTTTTCTCTTGCTCTCGCTTTCTAACTCTGCCTGTCAAAAAAAAAAAAAAATACTTAATAAGCATGGCTCTGTTCATGTAAAACTATTAACAAACAGGCAACAAGCCAGGTTTTGTATACAAATTGTAGTTCCGACCTCTGGGCTAGATGATCTTTAGGATTCCTTTCACGTTTGTATTCTGTGATACTGCTTTGTTACCAGCATCACATATATGAAAGGAATTGCTATTCAGTTATTTTCTGTGCTATGCCAGTTAGGAGCCAGTCAGGGGACAGAAATCACATCATTATTTTAACAGAAAACTTGACAATAAAACAACTGTTAACTAGGTTTTCCTGAAAAAGTAAAAAGAGAATGTTGAATGACCAGGGATCTAGCAACTGCAAGAAATTACTACCTCTGGGCCTGAGGGAATAGGAAATTAAGAATTAAATCATGCAAGTTTTGAGTAAAGACCCCACAAAACTAAAACTCCAAAGAGACCCTGCTTAGCTGATAAGAATATCTCTGAACTCCTAGGATGGCTCTATGGAGACCAGACTCAGACTTCTGAGGAAAAAGTGCTGGCCCCTGGTCCTGGTCCTCTTAGGTGCAAGGTGAGGCTAGTCCAACCTCTCTGGTAAATACTGCACACTGGATTCAACTGCTGCTACCGGAACAAACCACCAGTGCTGGGCTGAACAAGTAAGACTAAAGTAACATTGACGGGAACAGGATGCAAGCAGGAAGGAGCAAATCCTTCCTCCAGGAGCCTTTCCCTGATGGCCGTTATTGGCAGACCCTAACAAGCAGCTAGTAAAGAAAGTAGAGATAGGAGTTGCAGAGGCCCAGGCCCAGTGTCGCAAAACAGTGTATACATTAGAGTAGAAGACAAGGTTTGAACCTGAAGCTAGTAGCTTAACAATTTAAAAAGTCAGTCTTCCCAGACAGACATTTGAACCTCCAAACATTTTAAATAAATATTGTATTTTAATAAGATGTAAGTATTTTTCATGTAAATGAAGACACCTTTAGCACCTTAAAATACGATTAGTTCCAACAGCCACTTTGTGTTTAAATACTGTAACAACACCTATCTCATATGACTGGTTTGTATCTAATTTATACACACACACACACAACCAAGGAAGAAATTTTGTATAACTGCTATTTTTCTCATTTTGCCACCTATGAAGCTGAATTTTGTATTTTTAACTCTGTCTAGTATGAATTTCACATTTCCTTTTCTGTCAGCCAAGACCACATATAGTCAGTGTTCTTTACCTGGTAGGATGTCTGCAATCTTCATCTCTCCCACCCCTTTTTTAAAGATTTATTTATTTATTTGAAAGGCAGAGATACAGAGAGGGAAGGGGGGGGGAGGGAAGGGAAGGGGAGAGAGAGAGAGAGAGAAAGAGAGAAAGAGAGAAAGAGAAAGAATCTTGCATCCACTGGTTCATTCACCAAATGGCCCCAAAAGCTGGGGCTGGGCCAGGCCAAATCCAGGAGTGGGCACAAGGGACCAAGTACTTGGGCCATCTACCACTGCTTTTGCAGGCACATTATCAGGGAGCTGAATCAAAAGTGGAGCAGTCAGGACTTCAACAGATGCCCGTAAGGAATCAGCACTGTAGGCAGAGGCTTAACTTTCTATGCCTCAGCACTGGCCCCCATTCCCTTTTTATATATATATTAAAGAAAGACAGCAACAGAAAGACAGGTGAGAGAGAAAGAGAGAGTTTTCCATCCACTGGATCACTCCCGAAATGCCTGCAACAATGGGGAACAGGCCAGTCTGAAACCTGGATCTAGGAACTTCATCCACACCTCCCATGTGGGTAGTCGGAATCCAAGTACTTGGGCCATCACTACTCCTCCCAAGCACATTAGCAGGAAGCTGCATCAGAAGCAGAATCAGGACTCGATTCTCGTCACTCTGATAATAGGATGTGAGCATCCTAAGCAGCTGCACCACAGCACCTGTCCCTGAAATCTTTATTCTTGAAGGGTCTGAATCTCAAGTGGTCCTTCCCTTTTTTGGTAGCTTATAGGCACTTCAATAAAATTCAAACAAAAGAAAATAGACTGTGGTTAGAGCAAGAGGCATCAGATTAAACATAGGAAAGATCCAAATCACAAAGTCAAAATAGAATATCATTTGCAATAGTTTTAGAGTAACAGTTTAAATAAGAGATTAAATAATTATCTCTTCTGGATTGTTTTAATTTCAGAATGCAGAGCTCAACCAAGATTCTTTTTTGTTCCTCTGGTGCTGTCTTCCTCTGTCTTACATACAGCATGGCATTTGACTTTTCTTTCATGATTTAAATTCTCTAGACTAGTTTTCAAAGACTTACATCCTTATAGAAATTGTGTCCACAATTTAAATAAATTCAAGTTCTCACAGTTGAGCATAGAAAACATAGATCTTGGGTGGACATGAAACATCCTGACATTCCTTACAGTAATTTTCAAAAGTGTCTAGAAACATTGGACATTTCAAAATTGTATTATAAAAGCTAGTTCAGACATTTCTAAAAAATTTATTTTGCAGCTTTTGAATTAAAGTACCATAAAACATGCCAATCATTTTATTTCACACAATGACACTTCAATTTCTCAATAATCAAATCTGAGTTACAATCATGCATCACATAATGACATTTCAGTCAACAATTAACCACATAGACAACTGTGGTCACCTAAGATTATATCACATAGTGATATCATAGGTGTCTTTCTTTAAGTATATTCTGTGATATTCACAGAATAGCAAAATTGCCTATCAATGTATTTCTCAGAACATATCCCCATCATTAAGTAACACATAACTGTATATCTCTCTCATTGTAGTCATTCTTGACATTAGCTAATTCTCCCTTTTTGGCCAAATAAAGCTAGTGCCATTTGCCAGTTATAGAGTAAGAAAACGTTTTCCTCTACATTTTTGGATGAAATAAAGGACAGTCAGCTAGCCTGTTCTTGAAATCATACTTGTCAGAGCTGCCGTTGGTCCCCTTTCAACAAGTTAAGCATTTTTTATGCCAACATCATGTAATTATTGAGAACAAAATATAAATAAGACATGGTCCCTGCCCCTGTGAAGCTCAAACTACTACAGCCTATAGCTATGCTCAGGTACATAAATATCAACAAGTGTATCACACTGCTAAAATAATGCTGTGTGACAAACTAGCCTGAAAATATAGCAGCTTAAAATGATCATTTTTGTGCATCTCAGGTTGCTTAGGAGCTTGTTGATCTAGACTGAATTTGGCTTCAGATCAGCCTGATGTCTCCTGGGACAGTGGACTAACTGCACATACTCTCTTATAGTGAAGAAAGAAACAGAAAGAACAAATTCAATTACACAAGCATATTTTGTTTTTTATCATCTTATTATTTGAAAGGCAGAGAGAGACAGTAAGACAGAGTTTTTCCACTAGCTAGTTCGCTCTCCAGCCCTCTGTGGCTGGGGCTGGGTCAGACCAAAGCCGGAGTCAATCTGTGTCTCCTATATGGGTACTCAAGTACTTGAGTCATCACCTGCTGCATCCCAGGGTGTGCATTAGCAGGAAAGCAGAGCCAGGACTCAGACTCAGGCACTCTGCTATGGAATGTGGGCATCCCAAGTAGCATCTTATTTGCTGAACTAAACACCTGATCCACATGAACACATTTTAAACCCTTCCTGTGTCATATCTAATAATATACCATGTCAGATGAGTCAAATGATCAAACCCAAAGGCAAGGCAGGGAAGTATACTCTACTTCTAATGGGAATAACTGCAAAGTGAGATGCAGGGCTAGTGGGGAGAACTATAAGATAGATACATAGCATGGATGTAAGAGCTGTAACTATCTGGTCTCTCGCATGGGTGGCAGGAACCTAAGGACTTGAGGTATCATCTACTGTCTCCCAGAACTAGGTATGCCAATGCAATATGGAAGGTGAACATATCAAGTGCCATATTAACCCACTGCACCACAACACCCACCCCTTGTCTTTTACTTTGAATCTCAAATCATCTTTACCATTATCTACTAATTTTATGAACCGAGCTTTTATGTTTGTTTAGTTTGCTTGTTTCTCTATTTGAATAGGAAATATATTCCTCTGTTTAAGGTTTACCAGGTGCAGATTTATGATATCATATCTTTATATAGCAAGTGAAATTAAGGTTTTGAGTTTTTAAAAAATGACTTAGTTTCTTTAAGGCTTGAAATGTATTATATTTAGCATATATTATACATATGTATTTTGTGCTTGAGTAAGTCCTGATTCTAAAGTTTTCCAAAGCTGAAAAAAAGTTTTCTGAGCTTACATGTTCTAACAAAACTTTCCTGTTTTGTCAGCCACCAGCTCTGCCCACTTGGAGGACCTTGCTTACCTGGATGAGCAGAGACATACACCCTTGAGAACCTCTCTTCGAATGCCAAGGCAGAGTATGGGCGGTGTACGCACACAGCAGGATTTAAGAGGTTAGAACCACAGGAGGGCTGTGCCCAGGAACAAAAAGAAATGGAAATGGGCAAGAGACAAAAAGTTCCTTTGTTTCCTATTTGTAAATGTATTCAAGCTCTGTTTTAGCTTACAGCCAGTTAATTCCACTATAGAAAGGCATTGTAATTACCAACAGTTGGAGGTATTGATTTCCTGCAAATTGTGAAATAAAGTAAATGGAAATGGCTGATGGAAATGAAGGAAATAACATTTTTAAGATCCAGTATTTCTGAAATGATGGTCAGCCACCTTTAGCCCAGCTATGTTGCTGGTGAATTTCATGTTAAGAATCAAACATTTTCTAGGGAATTTCTTTCCTTTTCATTCTAGTGGCCATTTCTAACCTTTCATTTTCTTGGAGTCTCAGACGGTACCTCTAATCCTATCCTGGCAACACCTAAACAGCTCATCCTTTTGCCATTTGGCACTGTCTCTTTACCTTCTTTATAGCATGCTGCATGCTCCCACAGGGAGGAAGTTGATCTTCTCGAGGACTTTAATTTTGTTATGATGACAGTTGAGATGAGGGACTTATCATTGGCGTCTCCGGGTCTCCTGTTTGCTCAAAATGAACCAAACTGTCTCTGGTAACTCCAACAATAGTCTGCTTTCTCCAGTACCTACTACCTACCTGTTAGTACCTGTTTTCCTTAGCATCACAGCCCTGCTTCATCAGGTTCATTTTGATATTATCTTATAAATTCTCTTCATCTTTCCTTTGTTCTTCTTCCCCCTTCCGCAGGCAGTATAGTGGCACATGCATTAACTCCCATGAGAAGGAATTCATACATGCCTCGTGACCCTTCTGGATGTGTTTATGCTGCCAATTTTTCAATGATGGCTAAGCAAGTAGAAGCATAAAATAATTGACTGTCTAGCTAGAATTACCATAGTCTCCTCAGCAATAGTTAGTTGGTAACTTTAATCATAGTTTTAGTTCTGATCCTTTGTCCATTCTGCTTGCCATTTCTTCAGTTTGCCAGTTACTTGATATATGACACTGTGTATGTCTAGAAAATGGAATTATATCCTTTAGACTGATTGATATCAGAATTTGACCCGTTAAAATTACATTGAAATGTGGCCTTTTAAAGTTCCCCAGAGGTCAAGTCTGGGAGCCACATATGTTATAAAAATTTGGGGTGCCTTACGATATCACCATATGCTTATTAATAAATCCCCAATATTAATAAGCCCAAGTGGGTTCTTGCCTAATATTTAGAGAAGAATTCTAAATATTGGCATAAATAAACGAGGCAGCATGGTACATTTTAGGCTTTTGTTTAGTGTGAAAGACGTGGCGAAGGCATGGTCTTCCAACTCACAAACCTAATCAACTTTAACCTGTATGCCTGCCTACTTCATGATCCCATCCAAACCATGAATAAATGTAATCAAAAGTCCAAATAGCTGATTTATACCAAATCCGTAATCCACAGCTATAATAGAGAAAATAGGACAGAAACACTGATTTATGCAGACATTCAGACTTGGTGAAAAACCTGCCACACTGACATCACCTTGCATATTCTTACGGAAAAACATGTTGTCATTGTTGGTTTTATTTTGGTTTACCAGTTATTGAATTGTGGACTTTGTATTACATAGAAAACAAAAATTAATTCATAAATCTCTATTTTTTGAGGATTCTTCTTAGTACTGTAAGGAAAAGAGGGGAAATTGGTGCCTCCTCATAGGGAGCACCAAATAGAAGGAAAAGAACACAAAAAAGAGCAAGGAGACAGAATACAAACTCACAGCCAGAAAGAATTTATTCAGAGAAAATAAACTTGCAGAGGTCTACCAATGCCAAAGTGTACACAGACCAAAAAAACGTGTGGCAGAGGGCCCAGACCCCAGCACACTGGGCCTTTTTATATCTTAGGTGAGCTGGGAGTGAGGGTGGGGGCAGTAGGTGGAGGTTAGCTTTTCCATACTGGTTCTTCAAATTTTGCCCATTGGCTTCCAAACTTGCAGAAGGCGCAGGGGGTGGGGTGGGGAACAACACAGGGTGTGAGGCTGAACTGGTCTCCTGAAAAAAGGCAGTGGCAGCCAGAACCTAAAATGGCTGAGGCTTCTGTCCTTGTGCATCAGTCGTGACTCTGAGTATATAAAGGGGTTGGGAGCCAGTTTCTTTCTGGCTACCTCCTGCTGATTCAGGGCTTTGACACAGAATGGGATGTCTGTGCTCTGACTGAAGAAGAGCAGTCTTATGTCATTCCTGAGTGATGGCTTGGGATATAGCAGTCATCCCTTCCTGCAAGAACCTTTGGAATAAGTTAATTGTACATGGTAGAAATAGGAGCACTATGATTATGAGAATAAAAGGAGATATTAGAGACATTGTCCATGGCAGAAAAGTTGACCAAAACGAGGCAGAGTTTGAATTATTTGAAGAGATCTGTGGAATTCAGGAATTGTCAGGGACATGAAATAGTTCTTGTAAGTGTCAACTTGTATGTGTCAAGCTGTATCAACTTGAGAGTGGTGGGTCCTGTGGGAGTAGACTTACATGAGGGAGCTGTTACTAGTTTTAAAGAAATAAAATATATCCAGGGGAGGTGCCCTTTGAGATTGGCATTGGTGGGGGTAGTCAACATCACCTGGTCAGTCCCACTCCATTTTGGCTTTAGAGCAGCCTCATTTTGTTTTAGATAAACCCAATCACCAGGTTGAAAAGTAGGAGAAAAGTCACGAGGTATAGGGTATGGTTTGGGTAGATGTGTGTCTGCATAGGTCCATAAGTGAGAGTACATTTTGGTAAGAAGAGGGAAAGTGAGAGGAGGAGGATTAGCTTCAGAATTTTGTAAGGGGACGGAAGTTAGATGAAAGAGGACACCTTCCATAGAGAATTTCAAACAGGCTAAGCTTTAACGGCATTGGGGAAGAGATCTAATTCTTAAGAGAGATAAAGGAAGTTTTACCCAGTCTAAATGGACCTGTGCAGAGAGTTTAGTTAGAGTTTGTTTTAAAATTCCATTCATCGGGGGCCTGGCACTGTGGCGCAGTGGGTTAATGCCCTGGCCTGAAGCACCGGCATCCCACATGGGCACCGGTTCGAGTCCTGGCTGCTCCACTTCCGATCCAGCTCTCTGCTATGGCCCGGGAGTACAGTGTAAGATGGCCCAAGTCCTTGGGCCCCTGCACCTGCGTGGGAGATCTGGAGGAAGCTCCTGATTCCTGGCTTCAGATCAGCACAGCTCTGGCCATAGTGGCCAATTGGGGAGTGAACTAGTGGATGGAAGACCTCTCTCTCTCTCCCTTTCTCTCTCTGCCTCTCCTCTCTCTGTGTAAAAAATACCAGGGCTGGCACCATGGCTCAATTGGTTAATCTTCTGCCTGCGGCGCCAGCATCCCATATGGGCGCCTGGTTCTAGTTCCGTTTGCTCCTCTTCTAGTCCAGCTCTCTGCTGTGGACTGGGAGGGCAGTGGAGGATGGCCCAAGTGTTTGGGCCCTGCACCCGCATGGGAGACCAGGAAGTAGCACCTGGCTCCTGGCTTCAGAGCAGTGCAGTGCCATCTGTAGTGGTCGTTTGGGGAGTGAACCAACGGAAGGAAGACCTTTCTGTCTGTCTCTCACTATCTATAACTACTTGTCAAATAAAAAAAAAATACAATAAAATTCCATTCATCCATTCTACTTTTCCTGAAGAGGGTGGACGATAGGGAAAGTGAAAATGCCAGGAGATATGAAGAGAGGCAGATACTATTTAAATAATTTGAGAAGTAAACTCTGATCCATTATCTGATTGAATGGAAACCGGTAATCCAGATCTTGGGATAATATCATTTAATAGTATAGTGGAAACGGTGGAAGCTGTTTTATTAGTGGTAGGGAAAGGTTCCACCCAGCCCAAGAAGTTGTCCACCATAACCAGAAGGTAATCTGTTCACCTAACTGGGTGAAGTCAACCTGCCAGTCCTCTCCTGGGAGTGATCCACGGGACTGTTGAGTGGAAAATGGGGGTGGCCTGAAATTAAAGTTGAGGTTAGCAGTTTGGTAGATGCTACCTGTCTGAGATATGTTATGCAGTTTTCCGTATGGCAGGAGTTAGGTATATGAATGATCTCAGGAAGTGAATAATAAGTTTGTGTTTGAGGCTGGTGCCGTGGCTCAATAGGCTAATCCTCTGCCTGTGGCGCCAGCACACCGGGTTCTAGTCCTGGTCAGGGTGGCGGGTTCTAGTCCCGGTTGCCCCTCTTCCAGTCCAGCTCTCTGCTATGGCCCGGGAGTGCAGTGGAGGATGGCCCAAGTGCTTGGGTCCTATACCCGCATGGGAAACCAGGAGAAGCACCTGGCTCCTAGCTTCAGATCAGCGTGGTGCTGATCCAACGGAAAAAGGAAGACCTTTGTCTCTCTCTCACTGTCTACTCTGCCTGTCAAAAAAAAAAAAAAAAAAAAGGAGTTTGTGTTTGAGTAATAGAGAAAATGGAGATTTTTTAGAAAGGTAACTTGGAGAGAAGAAGGGAATATGAGTCCTTCCTGTATGCCCCTTGTTGTTGAAACTGAAAGATTTCTAAGTCTGAATATACGGAGCTAAGTTAAAGAGAAAAGATGGGATTGTTTCTCCACATGCTGCTGCTGTAGCTGTCAGATCAGCCTGCTTGGTGGTTTCGGATAGGTATCATTTGTCTTTCTGGTGCCTTTGCAGTGAATAATAGTGGCTTTGTTGCCAGCTGAGCAGCATCAAGAAGAGCATTAATCAGCTTGCCATTTATTATAGGGGTCTCTTGGGCTGTCAGAAGGCCCCTTTCTTGCCATATCTGGGCATTGGAATGGATACTATTATGGGCATATCGGGAATCTGTGTATATGTTGACTGTCTTTCCTTTGGCTAAGGTGAAGATTTGAATCAAGGCTAACAGTTTGGCCTGTTGGGAGGTAGTGCCTTGAGGTATGGGCATAGCCTCTATGACCCAATGGGGGAAAGAAGAGGAGGTATCATCATGGTACCCCTCAATTATTGCATATCCATTG